AATCGCAGCGGATCCATCGAGGTCCGGACCGGATAGCAGGCCGGACCTCGGAGACGGCTGCTACGGATAGTTATGCGGATGTCCGGCGGGCCAAGTAGGTTCGGCCGGACATCGGGTCAAGGACTTGGCGGAGTGTGTACGGCCAGAAGATCATAGCCAGGAGCACGGAGCGATGGATACCCGCACCGGGGGAAACGAAGCCAAAGTCCAGAATCCAGAGCCAAACCCGCGCATCAGGGCAACTGCGGAGAGGGCTGAAATGCCGGAAATTTTGAGGCCGAGAATTCGGACTCGGGAAGGTAAGTGCCACGCGGTGGAACGGAAATAAGCTGCCATGGAATGGTAACCTCATCGGTAACCCTAAGTCCAAACTGGGAAGGATCCTTACTGCGGCTAAGTCCATCAGCGGTGACATTGCGGAAGCCAGGGACATGCTCGATGCAAGTCGACACACAGAAGTGACGTTGCCACAGAAAATAGGAAAGGAGCAGGGAGCACATGCCGCGGGCCATGGAAATACCTTTCCAAGCGGCCGAGTCAGAGGGGCTGTTATCACAGCGACTGCTGAAGTGGATCGGATGGTGGGCGGCCGGAATCAGTAGGGCCACGCACCAAAGAAGGGCAATTTGACCAAGAAGCTCCCAGGCAGCAATGAACTTCTGAGGGGAGGTGTGTGGCGGGAACCACGGGAATATATGTTGAAGTTCCGCAGCGGAAAAGCAAGCACGAAACCAGACAGTGCGGGAGTTGGGGAGTCTGACGAAACCCCCAAGCCCCGCCTGACGCGAGTCAGCACAAGCATCCGCAAAAGCCTCGCAGGAAAAGAAAGGATCAAGGGCCAGGGGGAAGGACGGAGAGTCACCTAGCAAACACGACTCCCACAGACGTAACGCCTCCTTGGATTCAGGTGACAGTTTACGGGCGGAGTCGGTAGGCATGCGAACGGAAATCCAGACTCTACGTTCCCCCGGGAAAGCAAACGGAACTTGCGAAAGGCCGGAAACCTCCTTCTGAGCCACAGAGATCAAGGAACAGCCCTTTGGGCAGCTAGCTATGCCAATCTCACGCGAAAGCACTAGATCGTTGGACAGGTTGGACCGGAACGCTGACCATTTATCCGGTCCAAGTGCAACGTGCACAAGCGGTGGGAGGCTCTGGTCCTTGTAAAGAGGGGCCAAGGAGGGCCGGAA